GGAATGATTAGGAAATCACAAGTTTGTTATGATTTTTTCTTCTTTTCCTTTTCCTTTTATTTTAATTGCCTAGTTTTTTGTTAGGCGGTTGTAAGAATGTGCATATATAGCACATTTTTGGTGCAGTAAAAGCAAGAAAAATAGTATTTGGTTGATTATTCTCTCTCTGATTATTCTTCTTCGCTCTCTCTGCTCATCTTTTCTTTTATTCTCTTTTCCCATTTACCTTTCAGAATTATTTATCGATAGAAATCTTCAAAGTTTTGCTATTAATTTACTTTTTATTAAATAAAAATTATACCAAGATTATTTTAGTATTCAATTATTTTAATTTATTAATAAATAATAATATTTTTAGTATCATTTTCTGTTAAAAAACATTATTTTATGAAATAAAAATAAGAATTTTAATAAATTAAAATAACCAATATTTATAATTTTTTTAAACAATTAATATTTATAACTTTAGAGACTTAAATGATAATTCATTCAATTGTTTTTTTAATCGATAAACTCTACAAGACAGACCTTTACACCTATTCTCGTCACTTTTTTGGGACTGTCCACCAATTCTTATGACTTGCCGATTGTCAAATAATGAAGTAACTGTATTTACACGTTATTGTTTTCGTTATATGGGTACATTATTTTTATTTGAGGCTTAATTATATTTTAATTTATACATAATATTAATTATTTATATTTTTTAATTATTTAAATTAAATTTTTATCTTAAAATTTTATTCAATAATTAAAAAAATGCGACATATCATTAAATTTTATAATTTGATAATATATATATATAATACTTAAATACAAATAATAAATAAAATATATAAAATATAATAACATGTTTTTTTAATTTTATTTAATTATAAATAATATAAATTAATGATATTTTATATTTTGATTATATTTTACAGTTATTAGATAAATTTTTAAGATGTAAGACTTAATTTGAATAATTTTAAAAAATATAAAATAAAATTAAAGTTCTATTTAATTATTTTGATCATAATTTTTTTAGCATGCAAAAAAGATATTATAAAGGTCTAAATTTTAAAGAAAAAAATTACTAATTGCAACAATAATAAATGAAAAATACCTGAAAGTGTTTGAAAAGAATTTGCCTATGATACAAAAATGAATAATGTCTCCGTAAACTACTGTAAATTATAACTTCTTATTAAAAGTAATTAATTACATTTAAATTTTTTCTTATATTTTTTTACTATAAATAAAAAATGTTATTTGTTAAATTTAGAGTTCTCAAATGAATCAATTTGACTTACTCAAGTTCACTCATCTTTGCGGTGAGTTAAAAAAATATTTTCTTTTGGACAAAAATAAAAATACATGTTGTTTGCTTAATTGATTCATAGGTTGGTTAATTAAATTGAGAAAAGTTATAAAATTTTCTATAAAATTTTTAAAATATATCATAAAATTAGAAATTATTATAAAATTAACATAAAATTAAAATAAAAAAGAGAATAGAGAATAGAAAAATAAAATTAAAAAAATTCTCAATTTATTCTATACATATTTAATATAAATGAAATATCTTATCTATAAGACTGAATTTATAGTTCAAAAGTTTGTGTCCTTAAGTTTGAATATAACAAAGTGGTTTGACCTCTTTTAAACTTTTTGGGAATATCAACATTTATTTATAATAATTCCGACCAAAAATACATTTATTGTTATTTAATAGATAATATGAGTAAACTTATACATTTTTATTAAAAATAAAACATATTTTCTTTATTTAACATTTTAATAGTAATAATAATGATAAATTAATTTAAAATAAAGATGCATGAACCTTGGTTAGATAAATTAGATACAAAAATTCAAATAACTTATGAATAGTGTATTTACAATGCATCTCATTCGTAATCCACCGCGAACCAAATGTTTAGCCTATTGAAACTCACTTTTACATCTGCAGTCAAGATCCTTCGTGCACTACTAAACAGGGGAACACCATTTTCTGCTTGTCACCTACTGAAGACTTGATCAGATTTTCTAATTTTTTTCTGATAAAGATGGCAATAATGAGCGAATCAAAACCAAAAGCAACGAATAAATGGCAGTAAAAGCTTTGATTCTAATCATGACGCGTGAAAGCAATGGTTTTCTTCTTTTCTATCGTCACTCCAATGAAAACAGGGACAGGATATACAGATAAGTATCTTCTTATATTTGAAAAAAGTTTAAAAATTTCTACACTTAATTTAAGTTTTTTATTTTAAATTTAATATTAATAAAATAATAAATTATAATTTATTAAATTTAAATTAAATATAATTTTTTTTATATTTACATTAATATAAAAATAAAATAAATAGAGAAAAGTAGTCACTGCAAAAAGATAAAATAAATAGAGAAATTATTTTATATTTAAAGAATAAAAATTTACATTTATCAACAAAGTTTTATAAAATTATAAATAGTTAAGGAATTGAAACACTTTGATCAAAATTCAATTTAAGTCATATATTAAAAAGAAGCTAAAATTTATGCATATTTAATAAAATATTTTCTTAAAAAGTGTATTATTTTAATTTTTAAAATTATAAGCACTCATTAATTTAAAATTTTAATAAAATAGTCTTTAAAATTATTAAAATAGTCTATTTTATGCATCTCATTAGTCTTTATTAAATTCATATAACAACATATTTAATCTAACAGATTAAATATTACTGACATGTATACATAACGTAAAATTTATTAATAGATAGTCTTAATATTTTTGTATAAAATAAAAATTATAAAATCATCCTTAATATTATACAAAAATAATAAATAAAAAATTAAATTTAAAGTAATAATTTTGCATGTAAATAATTTTTGCAAAAAAAAAATCTTAGATTAACAACACCTTTTTTTAATATATGATAAAGCTAATATTATAATAACATAAATAATTACATAAATACTATAGTTACGCTCAAAGTATCACATTAAACATGTTTGACAAATTTTATGTGAATTAACAATAAAGACTAAGATTTTTTAATAATTTTATAAACTAAAAATATTGTCATAATTTTAGAGACTAAAATAATAAATATTTTAAAATTTAAATGATCATGATTTATTTATAATAGTTTTATAAATAAAATAATATTTCATAATTTTAGAGACTATATTAATAAATGTCTATACTTTTATAGACTAAAACAATTATTTTTTAATGATTTTATAAACTATTTTTAAGACTAAATCAACATGTGTTTATAATTTTAAAAATTAAAATAATTTTTTTATTAGTTTTAAAAACTAAATCAATAAATATCAATTTATTTTTAATAACATGTAGTTTTTTTTTAATTTTATGCATAAAGTACATTTAGTTAAATCACGTTTTAGGTTGAATTTTCTCATTCAGTTAAAGAATTTTTGCAAGTGGATGATGTGATACATTTTAAATTTGGATTTTGTTATTATGTCATTCACATAAATCTTTATTTTTTGATATATTATGTCATGAAACAAAGTTATCATGAGTTTTTGATATATCGTCCCAATATTTTTTAAGTCAAATAACATGAATTTATACTCAAAAGTCTCCAAGGTATGATAAATGAAATTTTTTTTATGACTTCTTCAATCATTTTAATTTGATTATGTCTTAAAAAATATCTATAAAAGAGAAGAAAACATGTTTAGCTATGTTGTTCACTAATATATGATACGGAGTAACAAGAAATTGTCTTTAGGATAATCTTATTCAATTTTTGATAATAATGCACATCCAAACTTTTCTATCCTTCTTGATACCAGTTTTATATTAGCAACTCATTTAGAGTATTTTGCCACAACTAAAACATTAGTGTCAAATTATTTTTTTACATTTTTTCTTATCTTTAAAAACACTTTAGGTTTCATTCTTTTAAACTTTTGCATGATTGGATAATATTTAAGTTTCCACAATAAGTTATGTTTTACTGTATGCGTATTAAGACTTGACATGTCTTGATATGATTAATAAAAAATATCATGATATTTGTGCAATATCTTTATTATTTAATCACATTATTCTTGCTCTATAAAAGTATCAATTTTACTTTCTTTGAATCATATTCACTTTTTAAAGTAACAACATTGATTATTTAAGTCTTTATAATTAATACACGTATGAATTTTTTCATTCTTCTTTGATATTTGTACCATATTAACAACTCATTTACACTATTTTATTATAATTAAAATAATATCATTGAATCAATTTTTGACATCTTTCCTTATTTTTATTCTAAACTTTTGCTTGATTAAACATGATAATCAATTTTTAATAATATATGACAGCAAAAAATCACAATATTCTTACAAAATCTTTATCACTAATTACATTGTTTTTGTTGTATATCAATTTTATTTTATTTTATTTATAATGTATTAATTTCACATAAAATTAGATGTGTCTCTTTTTTTTTTGTATTACTATTTTTAATATTTTTAAAAAAGGTTCAAAATTATCTTTAAAATTTTTATTTTTTTATTGATGAAATTTTTTAAGTTAATTATTATACTATTAGCATTATATTTAAAATTGTATTAGTTTCAAATTTGCATTATTAATCAGTAAAATAAAAGTAAAAAATAATATAAAAATAAGAAAAGGAATTATAATTTTCTTAAAAAGTATATTTTATCATATAAAATGTATGAATTCTTTTGTTGAAAGAAATGGTTTGTTACAAATTTTGGGAACTAAAATTGCATTTTTTTAAAATAACAATTATAGTATAATAATTACATTCTTTCAACAAAAGAATTCATACATTTTGGGAACTAAAAAAGTCATTAAATATAAATTAAATAAAAAATCCAGAATAAATATCTCCTCATATAATATAATATTATGTTATATTATATTGTAATATAGATATAAAAACTAAAAGCAAAGAAACCAAACAAGGAGGCCACGCATCCCCTCTACCTCGGAAAAGAGCTCAATTAATTTTTTAAAATTAACAAACAATAAAAAAATGGAAAGCGTCCCAAAAGTCGCGTGGGTCCTCGCGAGACACAGAACGCACCAGTTTCGCTTCTCACCATTCCCTCCCTCCCTCTCTCTCTCTCTCTCTCCCCGTCGCGCTCAACCACCACCACCACTCGCTTTCTCTTAGGGCTCCCTCGAGCTCTCTCTCTCTCTCTCTCCCCGTCGCGCTCAACCACCACCACCACTCGCTTTCTCTTAGGGCTCCCTCGAGCTCTCTCTCACACGCCGAAACTAATATCCATACATATACATATATATAGAGAGAGCAAGAGGAGTGCGCATAAAACAAAGAAAACTCACTGATATATAAACTTCAGCACTTCACATTATAATTTTGACTTTCAATTCCGAACTATTTGACTTCGATTCTTTCGCCGTTAACGCTTGCGAACACGATGGCTTCGAATTCCGACTTGGCGCGCACCGTTGAGTCGGTGGTTGGCGTTTCCGTTTCGGATTCGTTGCTGGTGATTGTGACCACTTCTGTGGCGTTGGTGATTGGGATTCTGGTGTTCGTGTGGAAGAAGTCTTCGGATCGGAGCAAGGAGCCGAAGCCACTTACAGTGCCTAAGTTGCTGGTGAAGGAAGAAGAAGAAGAAGAAGACGTTGGTGACGGGAAGACTAAGGTTACTATCTTCTTTGGAACTCAAACTGGTACTGCTGAGGGCTTTGCTAAGGTATGTGTGATTTCATTGAATTTTAACGGTTTTTTTAGGTGACTTTAGCTCGTTGTTTTTCTGTTTTGTTGGAAATGTGTCGGTGAATTGATTTTAGATGCGTTGAATATGCCGGATCGTTGTTTTTCCTTTTTACTTTGCAAAAGACTAGAAGTTGTTCCGGGAAATTTTCTTTTTCTCTGTGTGTGTGTGTGTGTGTGTTTTCCTTTGAGAATCGTTTTTTTATTGTCGAATTAAAGTGATTCAGATACTGGACTGGGGCCACTTGTTCTTTAGACAATGATTCTCGATTTAGGTTGGGCTAGGCCAAGTTACTATCTGAACTTTTCTTGTAGAAAATGCTTTTGCTCAAACTAAAGAAGGAATTTATGTTTATTTTGTAACCAAGAAGGATACTGTATAATTTTAGCTGGCTAATTGCAGCATGTGCTAATTTCTGCTAGAAAATAATTATGGCATAATAAGTTTTTTTGTAAAGACGAAGTTAATGTCCCTGTTTCCTAATGGCTTGAAATGGTTGCCCTGATTTTTAAAGAGTGATTTTGTTGTTTTCCTTAAAGCAATTTGTATTTATACCTACATTCAATCATGCATGTGTTATATAACCACTGTTTTTGTTTGCTCTTTGTATTTTTATTGTAGGCTTTGGCAGAGGAGATCAAGGCAAGGTATGAAAAAGCAGCTATCAAAGTTGTTGACCTGGTAAGTTTGACATGGATGAAATTTTGGCAATCACTCTATTATGGTTTTAGTGGGCAAAGTGTGTCACTTTTTAAATATTTTTGTTTGGAGGACTTTCAGAAAGTCTTCCCGACTAGTTGCATGTGGAGTTATTTTATAGGAATTAGGACCCCACACTGTAAAACGAAGCTTACTAGATTTGGCTTAAGTATTTGATGTATATAAATTGAACTAGGATGACTATGCAATGGATGATGATCAATATGAGGAGAAGCTGAAGAAAGAGACACTTGCATTTTTTATGTTGGCAACGTAAGATTTATGCCCATGAAAGTGGTTGAAAATTATTCATTCTATTTTGAAATCTATGCTGTATTTGATGCATTTGGACCTGATATGGCAGGTATGGAGATGGAGAACCAACTGACAATGCTGCAAGGTTCTACAAATGGTTTACTGAGGTTTGTAGAATTACATTGCTCTAATTAGAAAATACTAGATTTAATTTTACTTTCTCTCTCTCTCTCTCAAACGGCTTTACTTAAAGAATTATATGTTCTGGGGACATAATTTTAGGGTAAAGATGAGAGGGGTACTTGGCTTGGTCAGCTCACATATGGTGTTTTTGGCTTAGGTAACAGGCAATACGAACATTTTAATAAGGTAAATTTTGGATGATTTTGATTTTGTTTCGCTGACAAAACAGTCCATCATCTGATGATGTGCTTTTGAAACAGATAGGTAAAATAGTTGATGAAGAACTTAGTGAACAAGGTCTGTTATCTTATCATCTGTATTTTTTTGTCATTTATAAATATCAAATTGATATATCTTCTCCTTTTTATTACATGGTGCTGTTGATTTTGTTATTAACTGGGAACTGTTGAAGGGCTTGATATGTTTATTCATTGCTGTCATTTGTCGCAAAAATTTTTGTTTTGCTACATCTTTCACTTTCCCAAAAACCATTTATTTACTACAATTTTGTTTCATTTGCTTAGCATGGACTGCTGCTTTAACCTGTTAGATCCAAAGCTTTTAGTATGGCGGTATGCCTTCCTAGAAATCTAATGGATAGAATTTCATTTGGACAGGAAACATTTGAAACTTGTAGACAATACTATAACATATTTGTTGGAAAATCTTGTTTCATGTATATATATATTGCCAGATTTACCTAAACTCACTCACCAGCCTTTACTTATATTTTGTTGATGGAATTTAATTATACAAATATGGTTTTTTTTATTATTATTTTAAGAGTCCAGGAGAAACGTGTGTTGCTAGAGTTTGTTTAAAATTTACAAGCAAAGAAGTTAGATTTATGGGAAGCAAAAACATGAATCTGTATTTTAAGGTTTACATAAGACTTCAATGGTGTTAAAGTAGTTTTCGACTTTGCATAGATATCTTCTTATATGTAGGGTAATGTTTGGAACAGGTGCAAAGCGTCTTGTTCCATTGGGGCTTGGGGATGATGATCAATCCATTGAAGATGATTTTGTTGCTTGGTAAGTATAGACTTGCTATGCATAATATTCACTGGGAAATATATAAAAACGTATAAAATGCAGTATGTGGCTACTGTTTTTCTTTCCATTTGAAATGTTTTTTGCTTTTCCTTTCAGGAAGGAATCTCTGTGGCCTGAGTTGGATCAGTTGCTTCGAGATGAGGATGATGTGCATACCGTCTCTACTCCTTATAAGGCTGCTATTCCTGAATATCGACTGGTTATTCATGACCCCACTTTCACATCATGCATTGATAATCACTTAAATGTGGCAAATGGGAATGCTGTGTTTGATATTCATCATCCTTGCAGGTACTTGAAGTTGTGCATGTTGATTTATGGCTGTTGTTTTTGTCTACTAAACAGGCTACAATGAAATTGTTATATTTTTTCTTGAAGAGTTAATGTTGCTGTTCAGAGAGAGCTTCACAAACCTGAGTCTGATCGCTCTTGCATACATTTGGAGTTTGACATATCAGGGACTGGCATAATGTAAGTTGGACTGAGTTTCCTGACAATGAACATTTTTTTTTCTTTAAACTAGCAGACAAAAACAGGGTTAGGTCCCAAGAGAAACATCAAACAATAGCATTGGACAATAACCATTGTGTTCTATCCTTTCATGTTTATTTTTTAAAATTTTGGATTTTTTTTGAGATTTTATATATTTATTTTTAAGGTATCATATGATTACTGTAGTGACAATTTAGTTTTAGTTGGATATATTTGGAATGGAATTTTTCTAAAAGGATTTTAAAATGCTATTCTAGTATTATTTTTGCATGAAAGTAGTTCTGAAGGTAATAACCAAGTATAATTCATCTTTTGATTATGAGTGTTATAGCTTCTACCTTTTCCTATTTTTTCAAGAATTACTTTTGGTTTACACCTACTTGATAGAACTGGTACAAAATTACTGAAAGAACTTCTGATTTTATTAAGAGAACCCTAATTCCCAAATCAGTACCAGAATGATAGTGAATTAGAGAGAACTGGAGTTTATTTGAGAGAATCCCACTCTCCAAATCTTCCCAATTACCTGTGACAAGAACATAACTACCCCACTAATCCATCACATGACTATTTATAACAGTAACTAATACAAAATTGCAGCTGTCATAACCACTTCAATTGGCTATTTTGTGAGTTTCCCGCCTATAAGCTTCCACTTCTTTCTGTTGTACACTCTCCCAAACCAATCACTACTATGTGGTGAAATTAAGCCTCTTTCACAGTTTTAACCCTTTCATTTCCTTTATTTAAGCTTAACTTGTTCAGTGTTAGGTTTTGATAGACAGCTTCATATTATGGTGTATAACTAATTTGTATTCATAAAGAAGTTGGTGAAGAATTGAAGACATTGTTTCTTTATTACAATTTACAGTCTTAAAATGCATATAATAATGTTATTTACACATAACTTTTAGACTTCAATTTTATTTTTGTCCTTAGAAAATGTCAATTTTGGTTTGGGACCCTAGATTCTCCCCTTCTCTTTTTATCCCTTATTTTGTTAAAATGCATCTCTTTAATCCTCACTCGTAGATGAGCTTTATTAAATGATGATGTGGCAAACAGTGCCGTATATCACTTTCATCTTCCCCATTTCTTCCTCCCACTGTCCATCTGAAACCTCTGTTCCTCCAATAAAGACTTTGCTGAAATTTTGAGCAAAAAGAGACACATTGCCTGCAAACTGAGCAGCTCTTTCATCTCCTCAAGTTTGCTAATGGTTTTGTGCTTAAAAATTCTGATTATGCACAAGGGGAAGGAGGCCTAGGGGGGATGGGAGGATGAGGATTAAGAAGGAAAATTAGTGTGTTTGGTTTTCTGTTGGGGTAGAGTTAATGAGAAGTAGGTGTTTCAACAAGCAGGGAATCAAAAGGATTGTTTTTTTTCTTTTTTCTAGAGACCAAAACCAAATTGGCACATTTTTCAGGGACAAAAAAGTAATAAGCCAATTTTTGTATAATTCTTACACCACTTCTTTTCTAGATAATTAAACAAGAAAAACACATTCCAACACACTAGAAGTGTAAAGATAATGCAGAGATATATGCAAATAACAAATCCCAAATGCATATTATTTGCTATTGGTGGATAAAATGGTAAAATTTATTTTGGTAAAAAGAGAATAAGAGAAAAACCACATCAATTCGCCACTTTTTTCTCTTTTATGCCTCAACATCAAAGCAGTGGCTGGAAAAAATGTAAAATTTTAAGAGGGGGTTGTCTGAGAAATTTGTTATTAACAGTATTTATATGTGAGAAAAACTCAGATATTAAGTTAGTGAAACTACTCGGGGTATTTGAAATTCAACCTTGTGTTTGAGGAGCTTATTATGAAGTTATTGATGACTTTAGTTTGATCTTTCCTGATATGTCAAGCATATGCTGTCCCAATCATTTGTTAAGTAATCAGGTGTTGGTTTTGTTTGATCTGTCCCAGATATGAAACTGGTGACCATGTGGGTGTTTTTGCTGAAAATTCTGAAGAAACTGTTGAAGAAGCTGGGAAGTTGTTGGGTCAGGATTTAGATTTTCTATTCTCTCTTCATGCTGATAATGAAGATGGTACTCCTCTAGGAGGTTCTCTGCCACCTCCTTTCCCTGGCCCTTGCACACTGCGATTTGCTTTAGCACATTATGCAGACCTCTTGAATCCCCCACGCAAGGTTTCTATATGATCTTCATGAACAATGTTTACCATATCTTTTTCTTTTCTTTTTATGCAGAATATAAATGGTTTTACTTGTTATAACAGCATGTTTCAATAGGATTTTTTTTAAATAAAGGAAGAAATAATTAACTGTGCTTCTCTTGCAGTCTGCTTTGGTCGCTCTGGCTGCTCATACATCTGAACCTAATGAAGCAGATAGATTAACATTCCTCTCATCTCCTCAGGGGAAGGTGAAAAAAATTGCTAATAATTATACTGTTTCTGATTTTACAGATTTTTCATTTTTCCATTTCCCTCTGCTAATGATAATTTGAAAATTTTGGTTTGCCAGGATGAGTACTCCAAATGGGTGGTTGGAAGTCAGAGAAGTCTCCTTGAGGTAATGGCTGAGTTTCCATCAGCAAAACCACCCCTTGGTGTTTTTTTTGCTGCAGTAGCCCCTCACTTACAGCCTCGTTATTATTCTATTTCATCCTCACCTAGGTGATTATCTTATACTACCTAAAATATCTGAATGAAGTTATATATGAGAAGTGGCCACAAAATAATGCTACTTAGTTTTGGTTGTCTAGGTATGCCCCAAAAAGGGTACATGTAACTTGTGCCTTGGTGTATGGTCCAACTCCTACTGGAAGAATTCATAAAGGAGTATGTTCAACCTGGATGAAGGTAGCAAGTTTTGATGGAAACATCTGCTTTCTAATTCTTGTTTCAACTTGGTCCCTTTTGTTCTCATCTTTGTGTGAATTCTCCCCTCCTGAGAGAATGCAATTACTGATCAAGCTTTGTTATATCTAACTTAAATTTCTCTCATATAAATGATCAGAATGCCATTCCTTTAGACAAAAGTCGTGACTGTAGTTCAGCTCCTATTTTTATTAGAACATCAAATTTCAAGTTACCAGCTGATCATTCCATTCCTATTGTTATGGTTGGTCCTGGTACTGGCTTGGCACCCTTCAGGGGATTTTTACAGGTATGTGAACATTTTACAGATGTGTGTAGTTTTCAAGTTATTATGGAAATCATATTTCTATTTACTGCACAATATTGACTGAAGTGGGGTAGGGTGGAGGTATAGAATAGAAAGTGAAGGATAGGCGGAGGAAAAAATTGGAATCAAATTGAAAGTATGTAAAATCAACCACAAGAATGACCTAAAATATGAAAACCCCATTTATTCTATCATTCTATGATAATTAGAAGCCCCAATTTAAGTCCCAGTTAATTGTAAAAACCTAGGTTACCTAAATTAATGATAAATTTCTATATTCCCAAGAAAGCCCCATTCATGAATAAAACAATACGTGCTAATCCATAAACTTGATTTATGGTAAGCCTCTGCTTGTTAATTCTTGTTTTATCTTTGATTTACTCAGGAAAGATTGGCCCTCAAAGAGGATGGCGTTCAACTTGGTCCTGCATTACTCTTCTTTGGATGTAGGAATCGTCAAATGGTAAAAAAATTGCTTGTTGGACTTTTAAAACAATGGAGTTTCAGAATGATCACTGATTCTCCAATTATTTTTGGCTTATAGGATTTTATTTATGAGGGTGAGCTGAAGAATTTTGTGGAACAAGGTGCTCTGTCAGAGTTGATTGTCGCATTCTCTAGAGAGGGACCTGAAAAGGAGTATGTTCAACACAAGATGATGGATAAAGTAAGTGTCATTAGAAGCCTACTAGGCAACAAATGCACAATGGATAACTTTTTTATTGCATCAATTTTCTGTATGCAGGCAGCAAATGTGTGGAGTTTAATTTCTCAGGGAGGTTATCTTTATGTCTGTGGTGATGCTAAGGGTATGGCCAGAGATGTTCATCGGACTCTTCATACCATTGTCCAGCAGCAGGTGGTATTGTCTTTCTTCATTGCTCCCTTCCACCAACCCTAATGCTTGGAAGTTTTCCTTATCATAAATATGGAGTATTAATTTTGACATGACTGACAACTTTATATAGGGTATCTAGTGAGATTTTTTTTATGAGATGAGAAAATCTTGACCATATAACCACATGATTGTTTTAAAAGGTCACATGACTTTTTATGTTTCAATCTTAGCCATTTATATGTGATTGACTGGTCAAGATTTATTTCTCTCATTTTTGTAAAAAAAAAACTCATTTAATACATCTCTCTCTCTCTCTCTCTATATATATATATATATATATATATATATATACACGTGTGTGTGTATGATTCGTGCATGCTACTAAAACGATGGGTGTGCGGGCATGTGTGCTTTTGTGCCTGTGATTCAGATGGATAGGAATCCTAACAAAACACTTTTTAACACACTTCTTGTGGTTGGTCAATTGTTTAAATAGTCAAATTAATTTAAAAAAGTGGTTAATTTATAAAATACATGCTTTTATTTTTTAAAAATGGACCAATCACATAAAGTGTGTTGAAGAGTGTGCTAAAAAGAGTTCAAAAGGATATGCTCAAGAATGCAATATTTATATTTATGATTTTACTGTAGGAATTCCGTACTGTTTGCTGGCAGAGATTAGAATTGGGGATGATTTTAATGCCAGGAAAACTTGAATACAAATAACATATTTTGTTAAAAACACATTATTTAGTTGAAACAGGCATTTTGTTTTGAAAATAAATTATTACTCCTTCACGGCTTCACCTTATGTGTCCATTTTGCTTTGCAGTGCCTTTTTATAGGCTGGAAGTGCTTTAAAAATTACCTACAAAAATCTTGTCTTTTGGAACTTTATTTTATCCTCACTGATAATTTCACGACCCACGGGCATTTGTGGGGGTCCCCGGCGCCCCACTTCATTCTAGTTTAGCCTTTATTTTAGCTTTCACAGAGTAGGTCAGGGAGGTGAACTGAGCCACCTAAGTTGTTGTTTACCCTGTTCTTATAATTCATCCGCTGATTTCATCTAACTTTCTTATTGTCTCTCTCTACATTTAATTTATATTTAGTATAGTCAATTGGCTCTTTGAATTATGTTTGTGTGCAAAGTCATATACAGTTAATACACAATATATTAATCAAACTATGTCTACGACCATGCTTCTGAATTTATTTCAGGACAATGTGGACTCTTCAAAGGCAGAGGCTATAGTGAAAAAACTCCAGATGGATGGACGTTACCTTAGAGATGTCTGGTAAATGTTCTGATTATTCATCTGTAGGGGTTGTGACATACTTGCTATGTGATATGTTCAAGATTGGTTCTATCACGGAGTTTGGGACACTGATGATGGAGGCTGAAACAGGTTTCCTTGCGAAAACAAATATTTTTTTTGGACATTTGTGTGGTTTTCTTATATTTTCGTGTCTTAATGTTCTCTCTTGTCATGATATTTGGACTAGGATTATTTTTAGGGGACTGATAGGTAACCTCATAGATCATTCAAGAAGTATAGGTCACAGTAGCTTATTTCCAATTGACTTGTATTATTTAGTTGTAGGAATTGGTAATGAATAAGCGCTCCATTGATGAAATAAGTCTAGTTGAAGAAAATTGTGTATATTTAAATGGTGATATCGCGGCTTCATCTTAAAATTTGATATTCTTAATAGCATAGGCTTACTATTTCAACGCTTTAATGGAACACAAATATTTATTTAGTCTATACGAAATCTCAACAGGATTGATTTTATAATTGCAAATGATGTCACGCTTAGAAGAGCTAAAGAAAGATGGAATGAATCCTGAAATTTTAACCCATTTGAAATTTCTCTTTTTCAATATTAAAAAGTCAGGTTTCATCAAAATTTTGGATGTCAATGACGGGAGACAATTTTGCAATAGTCACACGAGAGAATCCATTTTTAAGAGAGTTAATCTTTTAGATGATTGTTTTAATATTCATTTTTACATGATTAAATTTAGAAGTTTGTTATGATATTTGTATATTTGAGAGGATGTTGTTATGTTTTTTTTTTTTTCAAATTGATGGTTGTGATTTTTTTAATATCTAAGAGATTAAAAGATAATTATTTTTTTAAATAAATTAATAATCTTTATTATTTTTTATACATATTTAATATAAAATTAACAATAATAATTATTTTATGTGTAAAAAGAACATAAAATGTTTTCTTAACTTACAAGGCATTATTTTAAATTTATCCCATTTATTTTAGTTACAATATGTTTCTAGGATTCGATTTAGTCTGCGAATTTGTATGGAGTTGGAGGAGGGAGGAAGAAACGAGGGAAGAGAAAATTATATTAGTCAATTTAAATTAAGTCAGTTATACTAACAAGGGGTTTTGAGTTCTTTTTAATATTTTTATAAACTCTTTATTACTCTTATTGATTTTTTTTAATTAAGAATTTTGAGCTTCGTACTTCAGTATGACGAAATATTAATTTCATGATCATCTTTGATCTAGATAGAAACTAATTTCATTCCAAATATTCATATTACATTGCACTAGCAATCAATTATGGTTTTGCTTGCAAATTTCACTAATTGGTGATAGTTTGGGCATTAAAAATGAAGCGTAAGAATGAATGAAGAAAAGTTAGAAGAGGATGAAAAATGTAACAACTAAATTGAAAAAATTCAAAGCTTTGAATGTTTAGAAATAATAAGATTAAATTATGTTCATCTTTTAAGTTTGAGTTGATTTCATCATCTAACTTCTTTTATTCAATTTAATTTTTTAAATTTAATTAACTTCTAATTCAGTTTTTTAACTCTTTTCTTAATTCAATTTAGTCTTCTAATTTATTTATATTTTTCCTTTTAGTTTTGTTTTTCCACTTTGGATAATTCAACAGATTTTTTTAATTTTTGTTGTAAATATAATTTATAATAAAAATAATCAATAATGACAATGAGACATGGATGAGATTTGGTCAATGAAGATGACTTTTTAATTTTTAAGTATTGAAAAAAAAAACAACAAGGATGAGTAATTCGTTAGGAATGATTTATGGGCAGTTAACGAATTTTCTAGTGTGGTATGAAAATTTTGAATGATAGTTTGATAATAAAGTGCACATGACATATAAAGTAAGCAAAACTCTAGTTCAAAATAGTGAATACTCATTCTGAAAACGAGATGAAGTAATGCCAGAGGAAAATATTAACCCAAAATATAACTTGAACTTAAAATTGAGTTAATGACACAGATTAAGTTAAATAAAAAATTAAAACATCAAATCAAAAAATAAATTGAATTTAGAGGACGCAAATTAAAATTGATCAAATAATAATTAAAAATAAAAATCTTGGTTGGCTTAATGGTTTAGGTCTCGAGTTGAAAATTCATTAACTAGAAAATCAAATCAATAATATATTGTATCAAGTTTAATGCAAAATAAATTAATTATCTACACTAAATTGAACTGGTTAATTTGGTTTCGGTTGATTGTCAGGCTTCTGGAGTTAATTTGAATTAATGAATATTCTTAAACGATAATTTTCCTTTGGATAATTTATTAGATTGTTGCCCAAGATTAGAATTACCTACTTCATCATTTTGAACTTTATCTGGCATCTTAGATCTCATGAAAAAAGATGCATTGAGATGATAATTAATAAATACAAAATTATCCTGAATGTATTAGATTTTTGCTTTGCAATTTTTATAATGGATAAAATAGACATATTTTTTTCAATAATTTTTTTTAAAGGAAGGATTTTCTATTTAATTTGAGTTTTTTTATTTAACTTAAGTCTAACGGATTATAATTTATTATTTTAATGGTTATATTTAAGATAAATGAAAAGTTCAAATTAAGTATACGAGTTGTTAGACTTATACTGGTGTAAGAAGATTTTGTTATTTTTTTTAATATCCTGTGAACCTTTTAATAAAGTGTAAAATTGAATGAAATTTTAATTATTTATTGTATATTTGGATTTTTGTTAATAGACTTCATATGCATACTTTAAACTCAAAAGTTAGTCTGAATTGTGTAGAATTACATGTATTTACGAAAATGTAATACTAAATAAAGTATTTATTTCACTACAGTATTATTCAACTTTTGAGATGTGGTATAATATTTGTGAAATAGATGAACTTCAAATATTTGTTGTCAATTCAGGAACAGGAAGAAGTCCAACTGGAGAAATTATTTTGAGATAAACAAGTAAATAATTTTATTAAAGTTGGTTTTCAAAAATTTAAGATTTTGGTTTTTAAAATTAACAATTGCAAATTGTGTTAGTTATTATTATTAAAAGATATTAAAATTTAATAATATAATAATAATTTATTACATTAAATAACATATAACTGTTTATTTTACACATAAAATAATATTATTTTAAAATATATTAAAAATATTATTTTTTAAAACTTTTAAAATTTTTAAATAATAAAATCTTTGTTTCGTATTTTACTTCACTTTTTTCTATAACATCTTCTTTTCTTTCATCCTTAACTCAGAAACTTTAAGTATATCATTTAAACTCTTAGAAAAGTTAATTCTTTATTTATTTAATTTTTGTGAATAGAGTTGATTTTTTATTTAATAACAATAGTATAATTTTTTTAAATAAAAGTTAGAATATTGTATTAGTTAGACCTATATATCTAATCATATTTTAAGTGCAAGTGTTTCTTGTATGAATCTATTCAAATTTTTAAGGGAACAAAAATGAAAAAAATTGATATGTTTAGATAGACAATAAAAGATGAACTTGAGTCATCTTTAATTAACTTGTAATAAAATTATAGTCATATTTGTGATAATTCATGGAGATTGATCAATTTATTTTATAATTAGTCAATTAGTAATAAGCTTAGTCAATATTAATGGAGATTGATCTATGTTTAAATTTACTAACATTCGATAACATTCATAATTTTTATGTCAACATGAAAAAAATTGACCAATCATTTTGGTCTATGTTAGAATTAAAAGAAATTTAAGATGGTATAAAATTTAAAGCTAAGACTCACATTTTTATTCATACTAACAACAACCTTTAAGAGATACTAATTCAAATTCTTCAAACTTCTTCTTGCATCAATAGCTATTGACTCTGACGTTTGTCTCAAGTTTTTGAATTGTTCTTTTAGAAGCATTTTAGTAAAGATGTCTCTTTTCATGAAAATTTGAATCATTAGAAATTGCAATTGTTGCTTGATTATCAACAAACACTTTAGTTGAATATGTTTGAACTACTTGTAGATTAGCTATAATTTTCCTAAGCCATAAGACTTAATTAATAGATGCAATAACAACTATGAAATCTACTTCAACAATTCGTTGTGCCAAGAAGTTCTTTTCATATCATCAAATGAACCTTCCCAATCAATGTTAGAAAATAATTGGAGATTAAATTATTGATCATACTTGAACCAAATTTCATAACTAATAGTTTTTTTGACATATCTCAACACAGTTTAGTAGCTTAAAGATACACTTCACTTGCATAGTGTAAAAATTTAAAAAGAGCACTTGTAAATTGCAAAATATCAGGTTTTATTATTGTAAGATATATGAGACAACCAACAAGACATATATAATTAGTCTAATTAACTTTTTTTGCACCATTCTTTTCCAAACCTTCAACTTTTGAAACATTAGAGTACCCATAGGGTTAGAAATCTTCATTTGAAATTTCTTGAAAATTTCTTTTGTATATTTCTTTTAACTGATAAAAATTTCTTTCTTATCTTGTTTGACTTCCATGCCAAGAAAAAGCGCCCCAGTCTACCATTTTAAAGGCTTTCATCATATTTTGCTTGAACTCGTCAACAAATGCAATAACATTTCATGTTACCAAGATATCATCTACATACAAAGAAACAATTTAAATCTAAGAATTCAAGTATTACATATAAATAATTGACTCATTGAAACTTTTTGTGAAACCAATATTCAACAAGTACTTATCAATCCTACTATACTAAACCCTCAAAGCTTACTTTAAACCATACAAGACTTTCTTTAACAAATAGACCTTGTCTTCTTATCCTTTAAGTGCAAAGTCTTGAGGTTGTCCAACATATATCTCTTCTTGCAAATAACCACTAAGAAAAGCATATTTTACATCAAGCTAAAACACCTTCCATCCTTTTTGTGCTACAAAAGTAAAAATTAATCTGATTGTATGAAGCCAAGCAATTGAAACAAATGTTTTAGAGAAATCAAGTCTGGCCTTATGCTTATTAATGGAACAATTTGAGTTGTATTTGGGTTGTAAACATCCATTTAACACCAATAACATTTGTGTTAGAGTTTAGGAACAAATTTTTAAGTTTGGTTTTTCTCAATTATCTTAAGCTCCTTCTGCATTGCAACAATGCATTTTGGATCTTTTTTTTATTCAGAAAAATTTAAGACAACAATATTACACTTTTCATAAATATCACAAAGTAATCTGGTTCCTCTAACAAGTGGATCATCAAAATTTTCCTCTTTATTTTCTTTAAAGAAAAATTAGGAACTTACTTACATTCATCTTTTTCCTTACTTCGTTATTTATCTTTAACAAAATGAACATCTTTACTTATTATAATCTTACTAGTTTATCGTTGGAAGACTTTATAAGCTTATTTTCATGTGCTACAACACATGAATATTCTTGCTTTTTCCTTTTTAATCATCTTATCTCATTTCACCTTTGGCACATAAGTAAAACAAACACATCCAAAGATTTTAAAGTTTTAAATAAAAGATTTATAGCCATAGAATGTTTCATAAGTTTTTCCTTATATTACTTGTGTAGGAAGCATGATTAATTAAAACATTGTTGTATTTGTAGCTTCAACCTGTACCTTCTTTGGAAGTCCATTCTCATGCATTATATGTAACACCCCGAAATTTGGTAATATTTAATTGTTATTATTTATATAAATTTAAATGCATATATATATATATATATATATATATATATATACACGTGTGTTGATTCGCTTGATAATGATATTTATGTGTATTAAGTATATGGATGTGTGTAGGCATGACTAGATAGGGTTGAAATGGGCTAAGTGCAGAGCGTGATACTGGGTTGTTCTTGCTGCAGCGAGAGAGCCCTGGGAGGAAAGACTGAAACTGTCACCTTCTCGCTGTAACGAGAGAGCAACAGTTTGGGGTGCATTTCTGGGTGCAGTTTCACTGTAGCGAGATTCTGCATAAACTAGAGTGCAGTTTTTTCTGGTTTTTTCGCTGTAGCGAGAGAGCATGTCGCTGCAGCGAGAGTGTCGCGACCAAAAAAGGATTTAAAAGGGGTTAGGGTTCGGGGAGAGTTATTTTCTCCCTCTCCCTTCGATACTTTCATACCCAAAGCCCTATTTCACCGATCAATGCCTCCAAAGCCGTTCGGGAGCTTGATTGAAGGTTGAATCTGTATGGGGAACGCTTGAAGGTGAGTTTTAATGGTTAGGGTTCTGTTTCTCATCCATTTTTCTCTGTTTTTGGGTTTCCTTGGGTTCTCATAGAGTTCTTCAATGTGTTTTAGGACGAAATCCATGAGGAGGAACACTTCTTGGTTGATTTAACGTGTGGGACGTCAATCTAAGGTAAGGGGAGACTTTATCCTACTATTTTATGCATGAATTGTTGTTATTTTGCTGAATATTGTGTTATGACTGAGTTAGTGGGTAGGAAATTGCTGAGGAATGTAATGTGGGCCATGTGCCGTGATATGTGGACATTGTGTGATAGAATGAGGGCATGTATGCCGAGTGTTGTGAATGGGTAGGGGCACTTCTATCGTATATTTGAATGAATATTTTGAAAATATGGGCCCAAGGGCCATGTAATATGAACGATAATTGTAGGCTGTGTGCCGTGTGTAAGCATGATTACTACATGCGTGAATGAAATATGGGTGAATGGGCGTGTTAGAACCGTTGTAATGTGCTGTGAATGGTTCAGCGATACACTGGGGGTATGGGAGATGAGGACGGTAGAAATACCTTGGGGAATAGGGAGTGGTGGTGACATCGACTGTGGAACGGGTGCACGACAGATTACACATTCTCTTCCTGACTAGACCTCTGACCATTACCTTTGCTGAGCGACCTGTAACTGTCCACGTGGTATCCGTGAAACGGGGGTAACCGGCGACCATTCATGGTATAAATTTGTGATCACAATGCCACAGTGGGTGTGGGTGTGGCTGGCGTGCATATGCATGGGTTTATGAATTGTAATTATGGATGTGAAATGTTGCTTGTGATTGTATTTGTTTAATATATTTGAAATGTTATGGAGGTGAGACTCTACGTTGATTGTGTGTTTTTGGGTAATGTAGAGTACTCACCCTTACATTCATTTTTCAGGTAATCGAGACAATCAACACTGGACTCAGTGAAAGGATGGATGAATTGCTATAAGACTTAGCTTTTATTTTGAAAATTGTTGAAACTGAAATAGGTCTTGTAGCAGTCATTTGATATTAATTTGTAACTCTTTCCTTATTTTAAAGTATTTTGTGAAAATTGATTATTTTAATTTTTGAAATTATTACTAAATAGAAATTAAATTTAAGGTGTTACATTATACATATAGTCATTTATATTATTATTTTATTCTTCCTTTCACTCACTCTATTTTGTTATAAAGTAACCTAGTGCTTAATTCCACCCTCCTCACATAAAGAATTAAATTTTTTTAGGTGTACTATTTTCTATTATTAGACCTTAGAACCTCAATTTTATTGTTAGATTAATTTTCAATCCAAGTCTTGAACCTTCAAAACACTCCTGCAACTTTAGACTTAAAGTTCACAAAATCAATCCAACACATTTTTGTAAAATCATCAATAAAGGCAATATATAATATCTACTCCTTTTAAAGACAATTCAGGTTGAGGTCCTACAAGGCTTATGTGAATCAATTGAAATTTCTATGAAGCTCTCCAACTTGCTTATGACAATGGTAGCCTGGTTTGTTTTCCATATTGTCACAGATTACAACTATTAAACTAATCTTCTAGTGATGACAAGTCTTTCACAATATTGTGCTTCTTCATGTTCAATAGTACATCATAGTTAAAATGACCTATTCTTTTGTGCCAAAGTTCAGTGATATTAACTAAACTTGAAATAATAACTTGTACTTCCTCCATTAGATCTAAAGAAAAGGTTTTTCCTTTCATTTTGACCTTGAACAAATCTGACCCACTTGCATCTTTAATCAAACACATTTTGTCTTCAAACAAGATTTTGTAGTCTTTTTCAAGTAACTGGCCAACACTTAATGAATTTTAATTAATATCAAGTATATAAAACACATTAGTCATTATTTTTATACTTGAGCAGCTTTAAATTGCAACAGTGTCATGCCTTTTCATTATGTACTTTCCATTGTCAATTCTTACTTTTGAAACAATTATTCAATCCAACTTTATAAACAATTCTTCATTATAGGTCATATGATATGTGCATCCATGGTCAAGTAACCAATTTTCACTGTTGTTGTTGATGGCAAAATATGTTGCTACAAATAACTGCTCTTCCTATTCTTGTTGATCAACCGCTTGAGCCTCAATTTGAGGCTGACTTTTGTTCTTACAAATTTTTGTAATATGACCAAACTAGTTGCATTTGTTGCAGCATATATTAGGCCTTTTCTAGCATTTGAAGTGAGATTAATTTCCATAATGCTGCCTTTGTTCCTTGCTCAAAGTTGCTTCCTTGAGCCTTTTTTTTTTCTCTTTTTTGTAGCCATGATTGAGATTTAGTTTGGCCTGTAATGCACTTGTAATCATGCCCTCCTCCATCATGAGTCTCCTTTCTTCTTGTTCTTGCTAAACATATAACAATTCTGTTTAAGTGATAATTGACAACATTTTGAAATTTTTCAAAGAGGAAATAATGAATTCAAACTTCTCAAGAATAGTCACAATAATTATTTGAACAACTCTCATATTAGAAAACTCAATTCCAAGCAACTTCACTTTATCGACAATGCTTTGAAGTTTGTTAAAACATTCTTTTACATTTTCTGACTCTTTCATCTGCTGCATCCCAAACTTCTTAATCAAATTCAGCACTTGCATCCCTTTGATTTTCTTATTTTCTTTATATTCTTACTTAAGAAAATCCTAGATGACCTTTGTTAACTTCAGAGTTATAATTCTAGTAAAGATCATTGGAAAAATAGTAAGAAATAGGTAAGATTTTGCCTTTGACTTTTGCTATTTTCTTTCCTTATGAAACTTGATTTAATTAAGCACTAGATTTTCTAGTAATTATGCAACCTAATAATCCTCCTCAACAATTTCCCAAAGATCACTTGCATCAAGAAAAGTCTCATTTCTAATTGTTCATAGATAATAATTCTCACCCTCAAAATTGGTATTGTTATGGCTAGGTTATCAAATTGCATTTGCAATTCTCAATGTAAATTTTTTTGTGTTTGGTGGAATTTTTAACTTTACCAAGTCTCTAAAAAAAAAAAAACTTTGATTACCAAATGTTGAAACTAAGAAAAATTTAAGAAGCTATAAAATTGAAAGGTGAAATTCACATTTTCATTCCTATTAACAAGCTTTTAATACAAGAAAGTGACAATTGAAAATTGATTCTAATTCTACCTATTAATTTAGAAATAAATTACAAATAAAATCATTCATAAAAATGTACCAATAATCAAAATTCATAATAGAAGAATTTTAGTAAAATAAACACTAATAATATATAGTGATTCAGATTATCAAAAGATCATAATATGTAATGTATAATTGTAATTTCATTAGATAAAAGTTTGAAGGGATTTAAATTGAATAAGAGACACATAATAAAGGTGGGTTAAAATTAGAATTTAAGAAATTAGTTGACGTGACAAAAAGTGGTATTTTTTAACCCAAAAAATAAGATATATAAAAGACGATGTTGATTTTTAATTTAATATTTATTAGTAAAGTAGGGTATTCAAAATTTCACAACAACAACGAATGAAAACATCCGGTGAATTTAAAAAAAATTAAGAACTAAAAAAATTAGAAAGTAAAATTAAAATCTCACAAAATATATAAACTAAAAATATATTTAAATCTAATTTTAAAATGCATGCATCTTATATTTATGAAAATAAACATGTAAAAAGGAGACAAATGTTGACATGAAATCAATCATTTGCTTTTTCTAATACGTGCATACCACAAACACACAAAACCAATGTTGAAATAAAAAACAACACAATAACTTAAAAGTTATATATATATTATCACAATCAAACTACATGATTTAGGGTTCAGCAGTACAAGTACAATTTAATATGGCAATAGAAATTGATCTATATTGGGGCGGGTGCATGATCATGAACACTGTATTGTTTGTGCAGTGCGGGGTTGACACATGCAAATAGTGAAGGAGATTGGTGTCGTTGCTTCTTCAACTTGACTCCAAACAAGAAAGACCTCAAGGGTATTCGAACACGACTTGATGAGTGTTTCACGCGACCATTACTACTACTACTACTGTTATTATTATTATTATTATTATTACCGTTAATCTCAATAGCTTCATTTAGCTCATCGAGTGTCTTTTCAACATCATTTTTCAATCCCTTCACAAGGCTAAGGCCAGCTTGCAACTCACTTGCAATCTTGCTATTCTCCTGTTTCATATTGAGAATCTCTCCCTGGAACTTGGCAGCTCTATACTTACTGATTAGCTCTCCCTTATCAGCACCAGAATCTGCACTCGCAGTCCTTGCTATCTCATCTTGAATGTTACACAATGATGAATACCTTCCATGCAATTCATCTTGCAAAACTGCATTGTGCTCAAGCCAAAGTGATAACTCAGTTCTTATTTCTCTCAGGTGTCTAAATATTGGCCTAAGTTGAGATTGTATAGGTTGGTGTCTAGAATGTGAATGCCCTTCACCCCTTTTGTTGTTGTGTTCCCTTATGCTTCTTAGTTCAGCTTTTAAGTCCTGAATGGAGTTTTGGAACTTTTGAATCTGATGAACTGAGGTGCTGAACCTCAACCAGAACTCTAGATTCTCCTCTAGCAAGTCATCAATGTCTGAGCGGAATTTCTTCTCCAAGTTTGAGAGGTCTTGGCGCTTGTTATCTTGATTTTCCATGAGCTTTTCTAGTGTTATGTTCACAGGTGATAAGGGAATATTTCCTGTGTCACCTTGTTCTGCAAAAGGAGTTCTGGCTGCATTGCCGTCTAAATTCAAAGGTGAATTGTCTGAGTCCTGAACGAGAAGCGCTTCGCGGGGTGTGTATTTGTATTCTGTTGTCATAGTGTAGGGACTTTCATCAGGGTTTGTGTCTGGACAGTTCATCTTATGGTGTAAAAACTGTATCTCTTTATCCCTTGTGGCAAGAGCATTCTTCACCTCCCTTAGCTGCACGGGAAATTGTAGATTAGTAGGAGTGGAGGGCATTGTCTCTACTACATAATATTGAGCATACAACTTACTGAAACCAAAATAATTTACTGTTTTTAAGGAGAAATTGTTGTATTATTTATGCAATAATACACAATTTTTTTTTTTTGTTTTGTTTTATTACTGAGAGCATCATTAGTCCTGCAATGGTTCCTTATCAGTTTTCATATTTTTCTCAATAAAAAAATACACGTGAGACCCATTATTGTAATATGAAACCTTGCTTTGTAAAGGAATGATATTTGCACAGTTTTTTACAAAAACCAAAGTAAGAACAAATTTGGATCTTCTCATGTTGTTTAATAGTCATTTTAGAAAAAGAAAGATACATTTTTACCAATTTAATTAATGGGTCCTATAACCAATCATGCTTATTGGTGGGTCATTATTTGATAAAAATTTTGTTTCTCTCTCTAATAAGCCATGTCATGTTATTTAATAATACCAGAGGATCCAAATTTTTACACCATACTGGTAAAAATAAAATCATACAAAATCATTGCGGGAATATTTGATACGTTCTTTGTTTTAAAATATCATCTTTTCCCGTGTATAGATATAAAACTTAGTATATGTAATCAATATCAGATTTTTTAAAATGATTATACAATTTAAGTAAATATTACAGATTGAACATAGCTTACCTGAAGTGTCAACTCAAAAATGCTGTCCCGATTTTTCTTTTCAACATCGTTGAGCTTCACCCTGACATCCTTATAGTTCCTTAAAACTGATGTGTATTCCTCCAACAGAATCTTTTCTCTGTCATCTAATCCACTTATAAACATCTGCCTCCAGTTAGGTTGTTCTTCCTCACCATGGTCTAAATCCTGTGATTCGATGTCAACATTGCTCACTGTGTCAGACAAATCATCCTTATCCTGATGAACCAGCTTTTGAATCCCCTCATTCATAAAAGTAATAGTTCTCAAACTGGACTTCTTGTTAGCATCATCATCTTCCCTTATTGTCTTAACACCCTTCATGACTTCTGAGTTATCAACAGACAATTCATCACCATGTTTTTCTGACTTGTTCCCTTTCTTCTTCTTGTAAAGTACTAAGTTCTCATCTTCCACATCTAGCTTCATGTCATTCAATTTTCCAGAAAGGTGCTCAATGTTACAACTAGCTTCAGTGAAGTGTGTTTGGAGGCTGTTGTCTTGAGTTTTGACACTTCTGTTTAGCAGTTTAACTCTCTGCAACTCCTCCTCCAAGTCTTTTAGCTTCTTATTGGTAACTTCCGAACCTTCTATGAGCATTTCCTTGTCCTCTTCCAACTTCTTCATATTTGTCTGAAGTTCATCTGTTTCTGATCTTAGTCTCTTTACCAAACCAGTCTGAGATGAAACAGCAGTTTCCAAGGTAACAACCTTATTTACAAGCTCATCAATGCACTCAGCCATTTCAGTCACAGTGAGTGAGTTACCTGAATCTTCCTCCAACTTTTTCTTAATTTTCTCTCTCAACTGTACCACATCATGCTCCTCTTGTTCCATGCAAACCATATCTTCGTCAATGCATTTGTGTTCTGTCACTACACTCTTACACTTGTCCCCATCATATTGGTCTTGTTGACTTGTGTATTTAGAAATGAATTGGTCTCTAAGGGTCTCAAACATCTCATGAGCTTCCTTAACCCTTTCATACTCCACTTTAGCTTCTTTAGATGATTGTGCTTGTATCTTTTGCAACTTAGCAAGGGTCTCTTGGCATGATTTTAGAGCTGTGGCTGCCATCAAAGCTCTAGCATCATTATCTTCTATCACTGTACCAACACCAAACTCATCTTGCAAGGTGCAAACCTTTTTCTGCATTGCTGTGATCTGGTCCTCAATTTCCCAGTACTTCTCATAGGAACGTTCATACAAACTTCTCACAAACTCTTTCTCAGTTTGTAGTGCCAAAATGTCTTTCTGAAGCTTGTCAATTTCTGATAATGCTTCAGCTTTTGTAAGGCCTGAAGTTGGAGTAGTTGGAATATATTTTGCTGAACTAGTAGTCCTCCTAAGTTGACTCTTTCTAGATAGCAACATGGAATGGCTTCTAAAATCCTTCTTTGGAGTCTTGGGCACTTTCGGAATGGTTGCTTTATTATGTGTTTGATTGTTGGGGTCTTGAAATGATGAATTAGTTCCTGACTCACTTTCTTCTTCATCATATTCTTCAATTTGGCATGGAACTTGATCTGGGAAGACACTAGCAATAGTGCGGTTGGCACTTTGGAGTTCCCTTGACAAATGATCATATCTCTCTGCTAAGGATCTGTATGCTCTAAAGGTTTCTTCCGCAAAGCTTACTAACTCTGGCCTCTTCTTGTAGTACATTTCTGCCCTCTGAGCAAATGAGTCTCCTTCATCACGCAGGATTTGGAGGGTCTCATTCACCTTCTCCTCCATATCTGTTAATTTTTATTAGCATCATCATTGTAAGTAGATGTTATTCCAGAAGTTAAAGTATAATTATGCAGTTAAGAACTTCAGCCATTAGAAACATATGGGAAGGGATTATGCACCAATGAAAATGGTACAGCTACGATTGGCTATTATTATACTATATATATATATATATATAATTTATGCCACCAATGTGTATATATATGATTTTCAGGTCATTCTTATTATTTTGCTTTCCTTAATTCATTTTAGTTCAAATCTCCTAGTCCTTGATTTTATAAAACAATTCATTTAGTCTTCTTATCTGTAAAAATTATAATGAGAAATAAAAATAAAAAATGACATTTTGTAATATCAAAGACTAACGAAGGTTTTTTAAAATCTCACAAACTATAATGTCTCAGACCTATTCTCATGGATTAGTTTAAGAATTTATTTCTCTAAAATCATTAATTGATTATACTTTATATCTTGTCATGTATGTATCATACACCGCTCTGAAAATGGTGAATAAATAAGAAAAGGCAACCACTATATTACGAAGGAAATGCATATTTTTTGTGCATGTTGATTGCCTGCCAGCTTGGAACGAATGAACAATTTCCACAGTTTCCAATTGTTAATTTAAGAAATTCAAAAAATGAAAACGCTGTCATTCTAAAATGGCCCGAAAATTGATCCCTCCTAAGTCTTACGTTAACAACGAACCTAATGGCCATGAAAATGTGTTTTGATGGAACTTATAACGTTGGAAAACAATAATGTAACAGATGTACCTTGGAGGCTTTGGTCCAGCCATTTGGACTGTTTTGTTCTTATGTGGCTTGCCCACCACCATGAATATGCATTGCTTGCTGCTCTTTGCAACATTTTGTTATCGTCTTAGGTAGCAATCATGAATAATGCACATTATTCAGCCCATTGAGGCAAAAGCTTGATGATCATTACTGAAACCAACAATGTGACAAAGGCAGATAATGGCCCACAAAATCTCTGATCAGAGAAAAAGCATTGATTTTCATAATCATGGTGATTAATGAAATTATGAGGAAAATAAAATCACGAGTTGACCAAAATGTCCTCTTATGTCGTACACATGGAGAGGAGGATACTTCGCCTCGTTCATAGGTGTATGGTGTTGGGTCCTTTGGAGTGCTCAAATGTTGGTTTAGTTGTTGGCAACCTAAGAAAAGAAATTTAACAAACTTTAGCTATCAAAAGAATAATTGGAGCATCCAAAACCAAAACTTACTTTTTTGTAACAATTAACATTCTGTTTCTTTCATTAATATACACATTTTACAAAACAATTTAGATAAATATTTTTTTTTTAAATTAATAAGCATCGATTCTGTGAGCTTCCAATGAATTGGCAAACAGACACTAACGTTACCAATTAACACTTGGCCTTATTTTCTTCCTTTGTGATAGGTAACAGCGAGCAAATTAGTTCTAACTTTCGACCCAAAAATGGAAAATTAATTTGATTAACCACTTTCCTTAAGAGAATATACGCAAGGATAATAAGTTTTTACAGTGCAATAATTCGATTATTTTATTTTGCTGAAATTTATTATCTATTTTTTTTTATTATTATTTTGTGAATAGGTCAAGTCTGGATATAGAATCGCTTGTTTTCACTAAGCTGGCTCTTAACCATATGGGGGTACCTTTGTTTTCATGTTCTGTTAATCCATTTTAATAGAAGCAAAAAAATTATTTCTTTGTAAAATATCTCATTTAAGAAAATCATAAATTACGCTGAAATAATTTTATGTTATTTATTTAGAGTTTAGACTACACAATATTAACTTACTACAACAAATTTTGTGTGAATTTCTTTTTGAAATATGTAGCAACAATTAAATATTACCTTCAATTCTACCTATAATAAACAATTACTAATATTTTTTTTCTAAATATAAGAAATAAAAATTCTTTTCTTTTTTCCTTATTTATTTTAATATGATGCATACCCTTAAGAGTGAATATATTCAAGTAACATTTGTTTTAGTTTTGTAACACCATTCAACCTAGTCCTTTGCATTTAAAATTTTAAATATTTGTCCTTAAAATTAAAAGTTATCAATAATTTTAATTATTGTCATAAAAAAGTTAAAATGTGATAACACGTCATAATAATTTGTATCATTAAATAATTTTAAATTTCACTCTAAACATAAAATAATACTATTTTAAGATCTCTGAAATATAGTTTATTTTCATTGCGTGTTTCAGATAACAAAATTTTGAAAGGAGGATTAACATCAATAGTAATAGTAATAAAGGCACATATAGAAGAAGGAGGTATTTGAGTCAAACAACACGGAAGAGTAATGAATCGAACCATGCACATAGTTTTTCGGTTTAATCATTAGAGAATTACTATTCATATTATATTCTTAAATCCTTCGTATTGATAATGAATAAAATTTATATACAATAAATTTTTATTAAAAATCATGTAACATTCTTAAATTTAATGTATTGATAACACTAGATGTTATAATTTTTAATAAAATTACTATTTATTAAATTTTTTAGCATGTTGCATTGGACATACGTTAAAAAATCGTAACAAAAATAAGCATAAATAATTAAATATGTCAATATTCTGTGCAATTTTGTAGATTAATAATTACTATCTCCAATTTTATAATAAAAATAAATATTTGAATTACCAAATTTAATAAAAATTAATTATAAGTCATATATTTATTTTAAATTTTTAAAATACTCAAAATAATAAATGTATAAATTAATCTATTATATATTAAACAGTCAAATTTCAATTTATATAAAATAATAATTAGCACATTATTAACACAAATATCATAATAAATAAGGATATAAAAATAATTCAACGATTAACGTATTTAAAAATTGGTCTTTATTTTTTATAATCAGGACAAGAAAATATTAATAATTATTTTTTATAAGTAGAACCAAAGATAATAAAATACAATTTTATAACAGATAATAATCAAATACAAATCAACCATTTAAAAGCATCTAAATATTATATATTTTTAATTTTATTCATATTTATCTGTTAAGAAAATACACATACCAAGAAATCAAATTATTTTATTATAATTAATTATTAATTTTATTAATATTTTCTTTACTCTTAAATCACTTATACATGCATTTTTTTTGTACATTATTTATTGTGAGAATTTTTATAAATGTAAATATTAGTATTTATAAAAAATTTAAAATAAAATCAACCCAAAAAAAAGGAAAAAACAGTCAATCTTAATTTTAAAAATTACACAAATAACTAAATATGAAAGAAAGTTACAAATATTTCACTTCACAAGTATTCTCATTTATAACAGTTGATTTGTAATATACAACTATATTTATTAGTCTTAATGAATTATTTATTTGCTTTTTAATACAATAAATTTATGAAAATAATTAATAACTGCCACAAGTTTTTTTAATTTATTCTAGAAGTATAAGGAATTAAGTTTTTTACCCAAATAAAATCTTGATAACCTATACAAAAGTGATAATTTAACTATACCTCCATGAACCAAAAACAGATAAATATATACAGAGTACACCCATGTTATACAAAATTTATATACAGTTATGTACAAATTTGAGTACATAATCGAACATTGAACCAATTCCCATATCCATATAAATATTTACATCAACGAATTGCAAGTTCCAAAGTCACACTTCAACATGCATTCATTCATCCACATCTTTGTCCTGCTCTCAATTCCGCCACAATGTTTTTCGATTCTCCAAGGAAGAAAGCAGAACAGCATTTGTACATCATTCTGAGATAGTGACAAATCTTCAAAACTGCTTTATTCTTCACCATATCTGCTCCTCATAGATTTGAATTAACCAAGACTCAATGTTAACCAATCATATTCTCACATCACATCACAGTGCCTATTTTCCTTTTTACAATATTTACATTATACAATTGTTTATTGTCTCAAGACCACAAAAAAGGATTTTTCTCAGGAAAATGCAGGATCACAATGATGACTGTGTGTGCTGTGCATCAGGTATTTCGAAGAGAAGACAGCCAGTTCTCCACATATTTCTTGCTCTCTGCAGATAAAAAAGGTCATAAATTTTAAACTTCTAGCAACCAGTAGAAAAACAAATATCTGAATTCCATAAAACCGCAAATACATGCACAATGTCCACATGAACATTAGCTTCACATCACATATCAATCATACTACATATATGTCCAAGTGAACTCTCCATTGGATTTAGAAGAAAATGTAATGCATTATTGATAACAGGTTTGTTGATTCTAGCTAATGGCTCAAGGGTCATGGAGGAAAAGGCAGAATTATATATTCAACTGATAAATTCTATTCTAAACAAGGCAAGAAAGCATAGAAAGATCAATGAAAAAATGGTTAAATTCCTATCAACCCCAAATCATATTTGTCTCATATGGACCTTAAATATAAACGCAGCAAGATTGTTGAATTCTCTACTTAATCTTCATTTATAACAAAATGACGAAACTTACTCTAGAGAAAAACTAAATTAGATACAACACTAAATGCAAAATTATAAGCTTTAAAAAAAACATCTGATTAAGTATAACCAAAGGATTATATCTGGCTAATTTCTTTTTTAACTAACAAATTTATTTTGGACTTTATCGGCTAATGAACTTTCAAGAGTAAAAAGAGAAATCTATTAAGTTATTGTAAAAAAAGTAAAGAACCAATGCTTAAAACTGTGCTCTGACTGGAATCAGTATCACGTGCACAAACCCAACAAAAATTAAAGGAAACCAACATTTAGAACAGCTTTTTTACATTTTTAACCACTCTTCATTGTTCAATCTAAATCCATGCATTCAAACAGCACAGTGATTGTTGATATTAATAAAAAGGCTCTTACCATCTGAATAACTATCTGGAAAGTTCCCAACAGCACTGAGTAAATTGCTTTTTGGATCCTCCACTATTCTACCATAATCTCGTCCATAGCACGGAACCAGCACGGCAAAACTGTTATCTGTTTCATCATCACTTGGGAAACCAGGTCCTTGAGGCTCCAACCAACCAATTGACCAGTCAGAATCATCAGATTCAGAACCAGAAACACATCCACCATCAGATGGAACCAGAACAACATCATATTCCCTATCTATCTTCCTCTCTTCCCTACTATGCCTTTTGCGCTTCACCCTTCTCGATGAGGACCCCACATTTGCCTGAACCAAAGGAAACCTCAATACATCTGATTCCCACAAATTTGAATCAGCTGAAGAATTCATAGAAGACCCATTTGGGATTCTTGGCTCTTGATGTTTTCCACTCCATAACCACCATGAGAGATTGGTAAAAGCCACAGACATTTACACAATCGTGTCAAGTTCTTGCAGCAAAACCCTTTCTATGTAAAAGAGCACAGTCTCTTCTTGAACAAGTAGCAGCCTCTAGTTTGGGAAGCCTAATAAGAAGAAATCAGTTAGCACACAATCTAAATTGAAGTGAAAACAATGTTGAAAGACAGAAATTTAGGAAATCCAATGTTTCAAAGAAGCACCTCAGCAAAACAAAAGCCTTGAAAAGCAGAAAAGAGAACACTTTTCCCCTTTAATAATTTCTCCACAACCTTCGGTAGAAAAGCACACAAAAAACAAGTTGTTGTAGCAATCAAAACCAAAAATGTTTGGTGCTACTTGAAATTTATAGCCTGTTATTCACGTGTTTTCAGCTCTCCCAAACAGCTATTTAGTACTCATAACAAAGACCAATACAAATTCTCAACAAACATTTGTCCTAAAATTAGTGTATTCTACATTGAATGTATAATTGTATATATACCCAAAATTAAAACCAAAACATAAAAAGTACTCCTTAGTACATTGAATTTAGACACCCATTTTCTCAACAACCAGAATCAAGAGGAATAGAACCCACCTTGACACATAATTCGAACTGTGACAGATTCAAAGCAGAAAACCAATAAAAACAAAAACAAAAATAGCAAACCTTAAAATAGGCAACACAGACAAATTCCCAACGTGGGAACCATCAAGATAACCAAATCCCATCCTAAGCTAACAACTTGAGTCACTTTTTCAGTAACAGCCTCCATTATTTAGACCACAAAAAAATTTACACATTTAAACGTTTTTTTACACGCACAAAAAAGCATGTCTTTACTTCAAAATCAGATAAAATAAGGTAAAATAAAAGAAACCCAGAACCTGAAACGACAAAGCTTGTCTACAAAGTACAAATTTTTCACGAACATTCAATCATGAAGAGCAACTAGAAACCGCTATTTAAGGGGGGAAAGAGTAAAAAAATGAATAGAGAAGCGCCATTAATGAAGCAGTGTATATACCTTGAAAAGGTTAAAAACTCAGAAAGTCTCTATTTATCAAAATTTCTCAATCGGAACTCAAGTTTTCATGAACAATTTTTGGGCTGTGAAGGGAAAATGGAGGATGAAAGGAAGAGAAAAGAGAGTCACAATTTCTATACGGTTTCCAGATACCGTTGGATGATTCTGAATCGCTCGAGAACCGTTCGATCAATCCGAGCTGTTCCAATAATGTCACTTGGCATAAACAAGAGTTGCAAGTAACCAATCGCCACGTAGACGATTGAAGAGAACAACGTAACAACGCAAGGGTTAGTATTCACTGCGAGATGTTCTATTGAAAGAAACGATGGTTGGATTGCACGTGGCAATTGACAGTAGTTCTACCCTTTTGTAAATTTGAATTTGTACAAATTTAATTTTGTGGCTGGTAATTTTTCGGTTTACTTATTAAATTATATTATTATTATTTTAATAAATAATTTAAAATATATTATATAATCATTTTTAAATTAAATAAAATTTTGATAAATTTTTTGCTAATAAATATTATAATTATTAATATTAAATATTTTATTATATTAAATAAATTTCTAAAAATTAAAAAAAGTTATAATAATATTAACTTAAAAAATTAATTGACATGATTGGAAAAAAATCTTTAAAAGCACTTTCATTTAACAATATTTTAAAAAATACTATCATTTAAGGATAAGTAATTAGAATTTATATATAGAAGTTGATTAATTTTATTATAATGTGAATTTAAAATAATATAATTTACATTCAAATTTTTTAATTTTTAAATTAATATAGAAATTACAATTTATTCCATTAATTTAAATATCAATTCGAAATAAGATTAATTTTAAAAACACTTTAATTTTTTTCGCTTTTTATTGTCCTTTTATAAAATTAATAAATAATTAAATTTTTTAAATAATTTTACCTTTAATATTTGATGTTTATTTGGTAAAGATAATAATAAATAAAAAATATATTTTATAAAATTTAAAGCAATAACCAATTTTGATTTTTTATAAGCTTTCAAACGTCAAATAAAAAAAAAGTAGCATAATGTTTTATAAATATTATAATGAAGTGAATATAATTTGATGATATGTGAAAGAAAAAAAGAATTAGAGAAGTAGGGAGCACGTGGGGAGAGGCGCATGGGATTGAAACCCGAAGGGTATAGGAAATTGTGACGAAGCTGAAGTGTGCGGTCTGAAGTCAGAGATGTGGTGCTGTTTGGCTGCTGAGAAGTAAATTTGCGTGGTTGTATGGTTCAAGGAACATCCCTTCAAATTAAAGTTACCCACTTCATTAGAATTTCAAGCTTATGGTTCTCCATCTCTAATATTTTAATATCAAATTAATGTCATTGAATTTTTTTTTTATTTTGTTCTTTAATCATAATTTCTAAATAAATTGTTGTTATAAGAATTACTTCTTTTAAGTGATTTTTAATCAAATTAAAATTTAAAGCTTTTATGTTAATTACTATCAAATTTATTTTTTTAATTTTATTATTAAATCATATATTATATTGTTAATTTGTTATAAAAGTAGTTTGATAAAGTATTATATGATTATGATGATGATGATCCAAATTAAACTCCCAAAAATGGGAGGTATGTTATACCCTTCCAATTGCATTTATGCTTGGAGTCATTTATGTGAATTACGACTATATTATAGTATTTAATTATAAACGAAAGGAGATGATGGATCAATGTAGATTAGAATTGTTAGTTTATTGTTTGGAAAATAGACAAATTTGTTTGAAAATCAGTGAATAATAAATTATTCTATTCGGTTTTATCTCATATCTCTAAAAAGGAATATATTTTATCATGGTCTGTTTTATATTATTTTAAATAATGACAATTAATAATCTTTATTTTTTTCCAAATTTGTCTTCATCTCATTTTATTAATTTAAACTGTATATTTAATGTACAAATAATTTAATTTTGTTTACATCATTTACTTATTTATTAGCAAGGTATATGTATGTGTAGGGAGGGAGGGAAAAATCAAAGTAAGAGAAGAGAAAAAGTAGGGTTTGGTCACAGCGTAGGAGCAAAGGTCTGAAATCTTCATGGTCAAGTCAAGGGTCTGAAATCTTTGTTTGTACTCGTGCTGTGTTATTGGAGCCAATCAAGTGGCTACCTGTAAGCCAAGTTCAGAAAAGGCCAAGTCAAAACTCCTAAGACAAAACCCATCCACAAAAGATATTTGAGGCTGATTAATTCTCAACCCTCAGATATATTATTAGGTGACATGAGATTATCATGTATTTGGTTGTGATTTTAGAAAATTATCATACTATAAATGTAATAAAATTTAAAAAAATTTCTCCTCAATAAAAAAATATGTTTACCCATCATATAATAATTGACTGAGATTATGAACAAAGAATGATGATGACGAATTATCCAATAATTTCTTCCACCCTCACCCTCATCCAATCTGGCAAAAACTTAACCTTTTGGTGTTGGTGCATATCACATCTCTGTCTCAACCTAAAACACAAGGTCCATAAATTTCTACATTAGACACAATTATTATAATTATTGTTTTTGCCTCAACATTTATCAATCCCTTCCTTAACCATTCATTATGAAGATGCATACACAATGGCTGTGTATTTAACTTATTGGGCCAACCAATTAACATGTGCCATGTGGTACGTGCAACTTGATTTTTATTGAAAATTGGCAAATATCACAATCCAACTTTTTAAATTTGGGTCCACAGCCAAACATAATCAGCGCCGCTTAATTATTAGATGCTTTATTCATTTCAAGGAAGTAACTGCGGAACAGCACCTCTCATGTGATGTTTGCTTCCTTAAACATTTTAGTATTCTCAAATCCAAACAGTGGTTATATTTTCTTTGTTATGTGTCACTAACAAATGCTAATCCCATACTCTCTATTCATGAATCAAATCTAGAAAATCATAAATGATGTTTTAGGGGAAAAAAAATGAAAAACACAGCGTCTACCTTCTACAATGAGCTTGTGTTTGGCAATATTTTATGATCCTGTGAAACTCAAGTGTTTGATTCAAATTATAAGAGTTCAGATCTTTGGGTAAAATTATATTTTAGAATTTAAGTGTATGAAAGAAGACTTTTTCTTCTGACGTGTTGTAGTATTGCGAGAGACATATCTTATCTAGTTGACTAGGAATGAGAAATGTGGTGGGAAAAATCTTATTTTTTCAAGGACGTGTTTTATGTGCTTAGAATAAAGGTAGAAATAAGTAATCCTAACTACATAACTATTATAATGAACAAGACAATAAATGACAATTTATGTTTTGATTAATTAATCGTGTGTTTAAAATTGATACTTTCAAATCTTGCTGAGAATTTTTTTTCAAATAAAAAATTGCTTAGTCCATAAAATTTAAGCAAATACAAACATATCTTATAAACAATGATTCAAGAATAAAGCTAACGGTTGAGAGACATTTTTATTTTATATACTCATAATGGATTGGTTGAGATGGTTAGCGATATTGATTCTTAAGATAAGAATACATTTTTGAAGATGTACATAACATGTAATAAGGAAAAGGAAATGAATTGCAATCCTTTGAGGAGATATCTAGAGACTTGAAAAAAAAAATCCAAAATAACAAATAAGACCTTATAAATCATTTTCTATTAGTCAAACCGCTCTAAAATGAAGAAGAAGAAAAAAAACAACCAAAAGAATGTTGTTTTGTTTAGATTAAAATATTTTAGCATAATTTCAAGTTCAATAGAAACTTTCTTATGCTTAATTTAACAAAAAGTTAAAACGAATGATTGTAACATCCACTCAAACTAAGAAAAGTTATTCCTTATCTCTTAGATTCAAATTTGTTAAAGAAAAATTTTTAAATGGTTATTTAAACCATTAAGTGGTTAAAAAAATTAAAATGATTCAAAGATAATTAAAAGTGATTAAATTATATTCAAAATATAGTTAAGAAAGATTTGGTTGATACTTTTTCATTTTAATTAAACATGTCTATCTCGTAACATCAATTTGGAGTTTTTAATAGACGACATTTCAAGACACATTTAGAGATTTATAAATACAAAGTCTGCCTTAAAAGGAAAAGATAGAATTCATATATGAAAAAGGTTATGGTTTTAAATTTTTAGTTTATTATAATTCAATCCTTAATTGTAAAAAGCAACAAACAAGAAATAGAAAACTTGCTGGGTAAACGAAAAAGATTACAAATAGTGTAAAAAAATGGAAAAAGAAAACTTGAAATGTGATATTTCTATTGGTTCACCCTAAAACTAAATAGGCCACATCTAATTTTTATCATCAAAAGAGATTTGCTAATCCAAAGGTTACCTTAGTAATTTTTTTTTCCCCAACCTCACTAGGGTATTTAAAATCTAATTATTCTTTTCACCCAACCTGCCAAAGATTTCACTATGCCTCTTCAAGTTAAAATCCGAGAGTAGTCTTTGGTCCAACCACTCCTAACTTCTATGAAAAGCTCATGATGATTAGCACAATTTGCTAGCCCACTATCACTTAAGATTCATCTTTATATGATAACCCTCAAAATTACTGAAATGTGAATAAACTCTTAGAAAAAAAAGAGCAAAAACGACTACGTACACGATTTCTTACTGACCTTTTTGAACATATGTTTTCTAATCTTCAACATTATTATGAATACACTTCTTTATCAACAAAATTCTCATGAATATACTTTGATGCAACTCTATTATCTTATTATGATGATCTTCTTAGATCGATTTTCTGTTCAGTATAATCAACCATTTTATGTATCTTCAAAATCTATGTGATGCATTGTTTTTTAAGTCTAATGTTTCTCAATTGACATATCAGTTACATTTTAGTCTTAAACTTCATCATTAGGAGTTTGCCTTTATAAGTTCCCTTTCCATATAGATTAATTGGATTCGTTCCATGTAGCATTACTTTAATTTCCAATATTCTTTTTCTCAACTTATTATAGAATGTAGATTGCTTTCTCACCTTAAATATCATTATTCTTATCAACAATTTTGATACTCCTAATTTTGAATTGAGTTTTGAATCTGCATCTAGAGAGTTCTGATCATCTTTGCTTCCAATTTAT